GATCGTAAGCCTATGTTAAAGTATGAGCGTTACGATCATCTTAACGCTAATATCGCTTTGTACAAGTGGGCCCAGTACAGAGCGGGATTGAAGACTCCACTTGAATTCCTTAGTGCAGCTGGTTGACATTCAGTCAAGTTATCCTCGTGATTAGGACTTTCGTATGTGTGATCAATTTCGTGACACATGACATAAGGATATGTATTAAAGTGACAATACATGTGCGTTTTTCGTAAACCTCTCAGTGAGACAATTATTATTAAATATTACATAATATTTGTCTGACGATAACGTAGTAGTAGAACCATAACAATTTCAAACGTTATTGTGACATTTTATATTTGTTACTGAATGTTTGAAAGGGTGACAGAAATGAAAAATAAAGAAGTGTGCTAATGTGTTTTGTTTGTGTAGGACCCGTGAAGATCCTGGGTAGAATAGGTCTTAAGCAACCCATGCTTGCCGTAAACGGCGACTATGCTTGTCGTAAGAGGCGACTAACGGGATCGGGTGGTAAGGCTCGCTGACTTGGTTGAAGCATGTCATCGATCCCAATTGCGTGGATTGATGCTCATGATGTCAATAACTGGATTGCGTGGTCCAGACTCGATTATTTACAGACCGCCGTCAAATAACTGGGATATTGCTGAGTGCGGCGAAAAACAAACAACCAACCAACCAATTGTTTGTGAAATTTGTCAACAATAACATGGAGGGCTATACCACTTTATTTCAGGGTTGAAGGCAGTAACTAATGGATAAAGACGTTTATATAACACTGACGTTTGTCTCTGTCAGATCCTCGTGGTCTTACCTATACATATATATGACATGATTAATACAAGAGCAGATTTCATAGTCAAATAGTTCCTCTACCTATTTGGTTTAGTCTCTACTGAATTATGTGCCTCCTTCAGTATTATCTTTGTTCATAATTATCTGCTATTAGTTGTAACCTATATATCATAACCAATACTAGGTCTTTACCCGTGAAGATACGGGGAAGAATAGGTCTTCAGCAATCCACGATTGCTGTAAAAGGTGACTATACGTGTCGTAAGAGGCGACTAACGGGATCGGGTGGTCAGGCTCGCTGACTTGGTTGATGCATGTCATCGATCCCAATTGCATGGATCGATGCTCATGATCTCAATAACTGGATTGTGTGGTCAAGACTCGATTATTAACAGACCGCCATTATATAGCTGTAATATTGCTGAGTGCGGCGTTAAACAAACAAACAAACAAACAAACTAGGTCTCTCTCCCAGTATATACACGTGTGTGTGTGTGTGTCTGTGTGTGTGCGTGCGTGCGTGTGTGCGTGTGTGTGTGTGTGTGAACCATATGTAAGTCAGTGTGCATACTAGTTCAAATATACTTTGTTACCCGTTGATTGTAGAATCTGTGATAGTGGATGAGGGGTTGCTGTGTGTGGGCCGTGGGATAGAGACAGGGGTTCCCACTAAACACAACCCACGTCACTATAGGGAGGCAGGGCGGATCACGTTTCCAAATATCGATCACATTGAACTGGGCATTCGTCCAACCCCTAAATTGTCCGAGGCCCCGTGCGTTCGCTTGTCCCGGTGTTCGTTGTATGTGCTAAATGCCAAGACATATGCAACCTTTATATAGTCACAGAACCACGGTAGTTAGCTTTCATATTCTGCCACCATTGTAGTGGAAGCTCAGTATCGCCAACCCCTGTCACCATGACAACACGATGTGGCGTAGTTTAATAAACTGTTAGCATTGGTTTAATCACCATGTCTGTTAAACAACTTATGGCGCCTTTTCCGGTTATATTTATGGCACAATGAAGCCTATAGTCATGCAGAGCGGTTAGCTGATCAGCCACTGTATTAGACGGCAGGGATTGGGCCTAAAGAAGGTTAAGGCTGTATACATTTCGATGGCATGGATAAACAGTTATTTCCTTTTGTGAAATGAACCTTATTATCTTTATATTTTACATTCTGTGACTAACGAAAAAGCCGCGCTAAAACCACAGAACTTTGTGATGACATTTGGAATGCGCGTCTCACGCAGTGGTGAGGGTTTGATAATAACAAAGTCGCTCAAAATGTGCTGAATCAAGAATTTTTAGACCCGTGAAGATCCGGGTAGAGAATAGGACTTCAGCAACCCATGATTGTCGTAAAATAAGACTATATGTTTGTCGTAAGAGGCGACTAACGGGATCGGGTGGTCAGGCTCGCTGACATCAACTGAAATACTATTTGAAGCAGCGGTAAACTCTACCCTCACTCGACCCGCGAAAATACGGCGTAGAATGGGTCTTCAGCAACCCATGCTTGCCATAACAGGCATGTTTAACGCCGCAACCAGCAATATTCCAGATATATGACAGCGGTCTGTAAATAATCGAGTCTCGACCAGACGACTCGATTAGTAACAGGCCGCAGTCAAACAGCTGGAATATTACTGATTGCGGCGTTAAACATCAAACAAACAAATGATGTTTATTGTACAGAACACGTATCCTCATGGGGCAGGGTACAAACGACCTACATTTGGGAGTAAATGTCTGTAATTGCAGTGCAGTGAATTTCCGCCGTGTGTCCGTGTTCTGATTGAGTGAGTGAGTTCAAATTTTACGTTACATCGGCATTATTTCAGCCATATAGCGACGAGACCAAATTTATATATTCATAAGTTCTGATTAAACAATCCGCGGAATTCATTCGAATTTAGCAAGAATCGGATTTCCATAATGATAATCTTTCTCAAACGAACGGCGACCATAGGGTGAGTGAGTATTGTTTTACACCGCTTTAGCAATATTCCAGCAATATCATGGTGGGGGACACCAGAAATGGGGTTCACACATTGTACTCATGTGGGGAATCGAACCGAGGTCATCGGCGTGACGAGCGAACGCTTTACCCACTAGGCTAGCCCTCCGCGCCACCGACCATAGAAAAGGCTGCATGCTGTCCTATTTGGTGAAATACTCCACATTTTAATACGAAAACGACAAAATATGCACATGGAAATCAAACTAAAATAGAACATCATAACCTTCAAAATCACAATCATGCATCCTGTGAAGATCCGGGGTCGAATATAGGTCTTCAGCAACCCATGCCTGTCGTAAATGGCGACTATGCTTGTCGTAAGAGGCGACTGACGGGATCAGGTGGTCAGGCTCGCTGACTTGGATGATGCATGTCATCGATCCAAATTGCGTTCATCGATGCTCATGATGTCAAACACTGGATTGTCTGGTCCAGACTCGATTATCTCCATACCGCCGTCATATAGCTGGAATATTGCTGAATGTGGCGTCCACTAAAACAATGTAACCCCATCATACCAAGGACGTGGGTCTTTTAAACAAAAAATAACTTAATCATACGCAAAAACCCGAACCCAGAACAAGGATAACAACTGGTGTCGGAAAGCTCAAACTATGGAACATGAACAATGGTAAGGAATAATATAGATCCCCAGAAGTTTATATTTAGATCTAGCAACATAGAAACATATATGTGTTGTTGTGTTAAGCACCGTTCTAAATAAGCGTTGCTCGTTTGTACGATTTATGTACGTACGCTCGTATGTTGCATAATAAAAATGTTTGAATTAAGGAAATAATCGTAATACCTTTATGTAATGAAACCACACATTGTACCAGAGCATGCTGTGTGACGTCACGCATTTACATCACAATACGGGCTTGATAGATTCTAGAAGAATAATCTCTATAGTTACTTCTCTGACACTTATATTTAGAGCAAAAATTAGTTTGTCAGCTTTGGGAACCTGCATGTGCCAATAACTCCTCGGTGCAGCTCTTATTTCTACATGTACTTACATTCCTTAACATCTGCTACCCTATCCCAAACTGGAAGAGATTTCCGGCATCTGCTTGTATGTAGGCCATTGTCAAACTCGACTCAAGTAATAGAAAACGACATAGAAATAGCAAACATGGACTTGTACGATGTCGAACAAATATCATCAAAGTCTCCATAATGACTACGATACACATGTGTGCACGTTGTTGAAAGGTTTCGGTACATTCAATAGTATTTATGGGAGAGATTTTCTCTGTTCGAAATGAATATTGTTTGTTTTGCTTGTACGTGCCTGTCAGTTGGCAGTTGAAAAACACTCATTCCCATCACTTCTGTTCATCGGATTGGGTTCAAACTTTACTGAAACACGCCACATACATCGAAGTAAACGTGATCTATATCAAAACACAAATAAATCATTCAAAAAGTTGTACATTAATGCAAAACAAGATTTGTTTTTCTCCGACACGAACAGAACAAACCGCCATCTTTCTGATGACCTGACAAACGGGTCACGGGATAAAATTTCTGAAATCTTTAAATCAGCGTAGATTTAAGTTCAACAACTTGCTATATATCGTGACGAATTCATCTTAGAATGCATTTCAATTATTATTTAGGTATATGCTTATGTGATTTGTAATAAAAATCCCAGAAAACATACGCGATCATTTACCATTATAATGAAAATGGCGGCCGAGATTTCCGAGTTTGTGCTTGTTGACTGAAATGTATCTGAAAGTTATTTGTACTCAATTGTCAATTAGCAGTGTTGAATGATAGAATCTGAAAGAAGGATGATTGAATTTCATATTTTAATTGAATTGTTTCTCGTAGGATGCACCAGTTCTTAAATATACGATAAGAAATCCAAGTGTATCAAGATAGCACGCTTCAGTCACTTCAGCTAAAAGTGAAATATCTATTTTATCATTGAATACAATTTTATAATCTTTTGCTGTCAATCAGCCTAATATATGCACTATACAAAACAGTTGTTGTCATGAAGATTGTTTGTGAAACTGAAGAGAAAAATGTCTGACAAGTTAAGGTAGGAAGCACATATATTCTGACAGAAGGCAAAGCTTCGCTGTCGGCGGGCGCCTAGTGCGTGTTGTCTTCTCCGACGTCCGCGCGTTGTATTTATAAGCGGCGAGCAGGTTAGTGGCTTCATACTGCAACTGCTCTTGATCGCTGACAGTTTGTCGACAGACCTCTGAAACTCTCACAATGTCTGACGCTGAAGCCGCCGCTGCTCCCGCTCCTGCCGCCCCGGCAAAGAAGGTGCCTAAGAAGAAGGCACCAGCAAAGCAAAAGAAGGCAGCAAGTCACCCTAAATACTGTGACATGATAAAGAAAGCCATCTCCTCTCTGAAAGAACGTGGTGGTTCTTCTCGTCAGGCAATCCTCAAGTACATCGTGGCCAACTACAAAGTTGAAAGCAAAGCCGCTCAACTTCACCTCAAGTTTGCTCTCCGTGCTGGTGTAAAGAATGGTAAACTAAAGCAGTCCAAGGGAACTGGTGCCTCTGGATCCTTCAGACTGGGCGACAAGGCCGAGAAGGCAAAACCCAAGGCCAAGAAAGTTTCCAAGCCCAAAGCGGCCGGAGCTAAGCCAAAAGCCAAGAAAGTGAAGAAGCCAAAGGCTGCTGTTGCCAAGAAATCTCCAAAGAAGGCAAAGAAGGCCAAGGCAAAGAAACCAGCTGCTGCAGCAAAGCCAAAGACAGCCAAGCCAAAGTCAGCCAAGCCAAAGACAGCCAAGAAGGCAAAGTCAGCCAAGAAGACAAAGACAGCAAAGAAGTGAAGTGCGTGATGCTTGACTTTATGAGATTAATTCATAGACATTAGAGTGAACTCATCCGTATGTTTCATCGCTACATCATGGGCTAAAATGCCTTTCATCGTAGAAATCATCGACTGAGAGACACTAATCCAGTCCAGTCAACGCCGTGGTGTCCCAACATCATATGACGCGTTCCCTTCATCGTAGATCCATGCATCGTTCATTCACCATGCTATCACCATCTACATCATCATTCCTGTCCGTCATGCAAGAGTACCTTCCCTCGGACTGAACAAGTGCCCCGCCCCAGGGGAGTGAAATGTGACAATCGTGCTCTCGGAACTCTTGTCTTCATAGGCAGCCATTATGAGACTGATACAAGTGCTAATGACTGAAAGTATCACGATCTCGTTCCATTATTTATCGTTGCATATTATTCATCTGTAAATACTCATTGAACACCCGTGTCGTTGTAAATAGAATCTCAAAAATTAAAATATTGAAATGTGATTTCTTGTCTGTGATTAAATTATTAGTTTATTATTTATTTAAATGGGGTCGGCCATGTTTTTAGTTCCAGTCTTTCACTGGCTATCATGGCTTACCCCAATTTATGACATCCATTGGAGGATTCCCTTGGTGCAGCCCACTGCACGGGGTTAGGAACTAAATACTTATAGGTGTCTTGTCAAAGCATTGAAGCCGAGAAAAGCGGGAATTTGTATTGTCTCGAGATAACTAATTTGTAAAAATAAAATTCTCGGATTTTAATGTTTTCACAAGGACACCCAATCATCCAAGAGGTCAAAGGTGATTCTCAAATAATTCACCTCATGAAGACGATTATGACATTGTTATTCCAAACGAGTAAAATCTGTCGGGATATTATAATGCATTACACTCGTACGTTTATTACGATGCGAGTTTCACAAGGCCAAATAACACGTAACAACAATTATTTTCAATAGTGAGCAATGTTGTTGGTAGCCGCACTCCGCATTAGTGTTACATATACATCTATGCAGATCACGAGACTTGAAAAATTCAATTTTGTTGGCACGACTACATTTTTTCATTCTAAATAACATTGTCTTAATACATTTCTCGCGGTACATGCATATTACATGATACCCATTTTGACTATTACCCTAGCCACGAAACAAAACAAGCAACAAAACAAATAATAAATTTTTAAAAAGTTAGAAAATGGCGATCCCTTGTCAATTTGCGAAATTAGAATTACCCTTGGATAAAAACCAGGTATGTCCTGTAATGAGTAGCCTTTTAAAAACAACAAAACAAATATATATAAAAAATAGGAAAAGGCGACCCTGAGCTTCACAACCATTAATACGAATAATGTATAATAAATGTGTTTAATTAATTAAACAACAATTACTTTGATGTAACTAGTTTGTTGTTTAACGCCGCACTCAGCAATATTCGTAGGACGGCGGTCTGTTAATAATCGGGTCAGAGCCCGGTCGGGACCAGAGAATCGACATCACGAGCATCGATCCACGCAATTGGGATACCATGACAAGCATCAACCAAGTCAGCGAGCCTGACCACCCGATCCCGTTAGTCGCCTCTTACAACAAGCATGTAACTAGTGCGCTATATATGAATATATGTACATGCAGGCAATCGCACGCATCAGATTTGCTGCAATGGATGGTCTGCGTTAGGAATGAGCTACAAATATATATATGCGATCTTCTAGGTAGAGTTACTTCCCCTAGACCAGTCGCCGTGAAACCTTGCCTTCCAACGGCGGTTGTTGAAACACCCAATTCCCAAGTGAGAAAGACTTGCAGGAGACACTGAACATGAAGGTTAACTGTGGACTAACATCTAGTCTCTGAAATGAATATACAACAAATGAATATATAAAACATACAGTTGTTAAATTATCTTAATAATATAATAAAAGGGAGCCCAGAGATCTTTTCATTTTGAGAAACTGAAACTGCAGTGATCTGGACTTGCCCACTGTTATAGACTTGCATTGGCTTTATTGAATATATTTGTCTCAGGGTCTTTAGGACAGACTAGATTAACTGATGTCGAGAACGGTGTAAATTCCAAGCTTAAGCGCATTTACCTTACAGCCAAACTTGGATACACTTATAATAATAGTGCATAATGCACTCTGCGCGTTGATAGTTTCATGATATTCTATAGACTAATCTAATTAACGCTAGGCATTAAAGATCTTTCCAGCTACACCTAAACACGTCGGCTATTATAACCAGTTTTGTGAAACGTACTAGCCAGCCATTCCGACGTCTCAGTATAGCTTGTAGATTATAACAATTTCGCTTTGAAAATGATACATCGCCAGACACATACCCAACATCTTGCTTGTCAAACAGTTAAGCTGCCATGACCATCACAGACAAGGCACAATCACTGCACCCCGAGGACTGTAGATATATTACGCTGAGAACAATATTTCTATAAACCTTATGTTTATATACATGACTTTACTAATCCCCCACCCACACCAACTAAGAGGTTTTCACTATTCCAACATATTCTATTCAAAAGCAAAAATAAATCTTTTTGATTTTCACATCACATATAGGTCTTGACTAGTTACCTAAAATTTAATATACCCCTTTAATTTGTACCCTGCGTGCCTCAAGTGGAGTCATTTAGGGGGCATGATTTTGTGAATATTCTTAATTTCAAATGTCATTTTATCTCATATAGTTATAAAATATAAGTGCTACCTTTTAATTATTTTAAATAAGACTTAAAAAGACTTAAAAACTTACCCCAAATTGTCTCTTATTTATCGGAACCTATATTGATTGGACAATGATATGTTCCTGATGGTGAGGTGAGGTGAAATTGGGTTTAACGTCGCGTCCAAGATTATTGCACTTATATAGCGACGTGCATGCACGTGTGTGTGTGTGTGTCTGCTTGTACTAGTCCGGACTGATGCCGATTTATAGTGCTAGCCCACTGAGATACCATGCCGCAGTTTTAACATGAATACCCCACTCAGACACAGTATACTGCCCCGAGCCGACCAGTGCTTGTTTTAGCCCCTTAATGCCGAACGCCAGACAGGGTAACAACAAGTACCATCTTTTAACGTCTTTTGGTATGACGCGGTCGGGGATCGAACCCCGGACCTTCCGCTCTCCGGGCGGACGCTCTACCACTAGACCACGGAGGCGGGCTGTTCCTGATGGAAAAAGGTATATTGATATACACATGTATTATTACTGGAAGAATATGCGGGCATATTTGTGAAGATACACAGGCAATCGGACGTATTTCCAGTTGAGCAGGAATAGCGTTTCCTGATAGAATTGTTTAGTTTTGAATTACTATGATGTAGACACGCATGTCTCAATTTTATGTATATAAAAAAATGACGAATTCTACCAAAGTGAGTAGTGTATGTTCCAACACTAGTGTACATCTGTAAAATAATCAGTTAACACCAGTATAGGAATACTGTCTACATTACCAGTGATGCAAGCTGTGTCGCCTTTTAGGGCCATTTGTTTTGTTTTTTGTCTTGAAATTTCAAAATATTAAGTTGAAATTTCAAGATACTAACTTGTAATATCAAGATAACAATTTGAAATTTCATGATTCTAACTTGTAATTTCAAGATAATAAGTTGAAATTTCAAGTTAGTATCTTGAAATTCAAGTTAGTATCTTGAATCTTCAACTTATGATACTGAGATTTCAAGATCATTATCTTTTTAAATTAAATGTTTAAACTTATGAATCTTGACATTTCAACTTAGTATCTTGACATTTCAACTTATTATCTTGTAATTTCAAGATAACATCTTGAAATTTTAAGATACTAAATAAAAAAACAACAACAAAAACACAAAACATATGGCCCTAAAAGGCTTCCGTAATAACATGTACTGCAAACCATGATCAGAAGATGATCTATCAATTAGACAAAACATCAAATCGTTAAAAATTAAATAAATTCGGTTTTCGTCTATCGGTGGGATTTTGTTATCAGAAACCACAAGGGAGAAAGAGCTTAAACTTTTGGACGATGCTTATCAGATTTGTTGATTGCGTCAAAATCATTAAAATCGTTAAAAAATGTAAAATAGCTCTTTAATAATCTTCTTCTTAGACACAGACAGGGTCCTGGAATTGATGTCATTCTATAGCAACTCAGCTGGGTTCAGATTTGTTCATACCAGTAAAATTAGAAAATAAAATAAAAAAATAAATTGTACATATTTGTACATATATACTAATTTTGAATTCATTAAGAAACCTGGAGGATCTAGGATACTGTGGGCATTGTATGGAATTGAACAATTTAGTTTATTATTGTATTTGAAAAGATATTCTTCATTTGTGGAAATCTTCTCAGGAATTATACAGACCAGGAATTGGAACGTTTGTTCGGGAAATGTCGTAGTATTGCTGGGTGTAGATATATTCCTGGTTATTAGATGAAGCATTAAGTTCTATTTTCTTTACATACAGTGATCAATCTAAAACGCTGTGCAAAAGATGAAAAAGATAAGATTCTTTAAGGTACCATCTTCTCATGCTTGATCCTAAATGTTTTGTTTATTCCTGACCCTAGATGTACAGCTGATTCCTAATTCTAGATGAACAGCTGGTTCCTGATCCTAGATGTACAGCTGATTCCTGATCCTAGATGTACAGCTGATTCCTGATCCTAGATTTACAGCTGATTCCTGATCCTAGATGTACAGCTGATTCCTGATCCTAGATGTACAGCTGATTCCTGATCCTAGATGTACAGCTGATTCCTGATCCTAGATGTACAGCTGATTCCTGATCCTAGATGTACAGCTCATTCCTGATTCTAGATATGCAGTTCATTCCTAATCTTAGATGTACAGCTTATTTATTATCATAGATGTACAGCATATTTATTAGTCTAGATGAACAGCTTATTTATTAGTCTAGATGTACAGCTTATTTATTAGCCTGGGTGTACAGCTTATTCATTAGTCTAGATTTAACGCTTTTTTATTATCCTAGATGAACAGCTTATTTATTAGTCTAGATACACAACTTATTTATTAGCCTGGGTGTACAGCTTATTTATAAGTCTAGATGTACAGCTATCTATTAGTCTAGATGTACAGCTTATTTATTAGTCTAGATGTACAGCTTATTTATTATCCTAGATGTATAGCTTATTTATTATCCTAGATGTACAGCTTATTTATTATCCTAGATACACAGCTATTTATTAGTCTAGATGCACAGCTTATTTATTAGTCTAGATGTACAGCCTATTTTTTAGCCTGGATGTACAGCTTATTTATTAGTCTAGATGTACAGCTTTTTTATTAGTCTAGATGTACAGCTTATTTATTATTCTAGATGGACAGCTTATTTATTATCCTAGATGTACAGCTTATTTATTAGTCTAAATGTACAGCTTATTTATTAGTCTGGATGTACAGCTTATTTATTATCCTAGATGTACAGCTTATTTATTATCCTATATGTACAGCTTATGTATTA